CAACTTAGTTCATTAACTTTAAAATGCACTATCATATAACCTTCCTAACTCATTATCAAAATCTCTGTGGTCCTGTTTGGTAAATAAATGGCTGTTAGCTGATAATTGATTGTGTTAATTAGAGGGTATAACTAAATGATAACATTAGCTGTTGTAGAAAGTGTTGGGCAAATTAGCTGTTAGCTGATAACAGATTGGTATAATTTTTTTTTTCAAAAAGTTAATTGAAAAAGTTGCTTGGAGTAGCTTTTTGAATTTTAACATTTTAGAGTTGCAAAAAAATTAATTAACCAAACACTTATATTGATATTTTAACTAAATCAAACAATTAATAGTAGTGCCAATTTTTTACCAAACAAGGCCTATATCTTCTTCTTCTTCTTCTTCTTCTTTTTTGTTTTTTGAAAGCCAAAATCTCTATATCTAATTCTACATTGTAACCCATATCTTATAATTTTCATTTTGAATTAATTACCTAATTAAAATTTTACTTAATTTTTATTTTAACATCTTAATCCTTACTTCATCATCCCAAAACTAAGGACAAGCTAGACTGGTTTACCTATTTGTAGTCCTTTGCGATTAGAGTCAAAAAGTGAAATTTACACAATGCATACCCTCAGATAGTGACTTCACGTTTCTCTCCTCACTCCAAAAAAAAAAAAAAATCATTTTAAATTTTCACAAACTTCTCCAATTCTCATACGAATTAGTTTTAATTTCATCGGTAACATTTTAACAGTAAGAACTCAACTATTAATTTTTAAAAATCATACCACCCAATTCCTAACTTCTCACAAAAAATGTCAAAGCCAAGCTCACCACAAATTGAAGTTGCTATCTCAAAAAGACAATTAACTATGAATTTTCCAGCACTGGAGAATTGATTTTGACATGTTGGAGAACAAGAAGGGCGAGCATTGGCTCAAATTTTATCTCCATGTTTACTCCAAATTAAAGTTGCCACCATATATATATATATATATATATATATATATATATATATATATATATATATATATATATATATATATATATATATATATCTAACTAACCTAAAACCTAACTCCGATCCATTTTTCCTATGAAGATTGGATTGAAAAAAGAAGTCAAAAAAGAACAGTCATAGTGTCCAAGTTGTATGAAAGGAGACACAGCACTTAAAACCAATATGTTGGGTCCTAATAGATTTGTCGACAAACCTAGTTTACACGATGGATCCTCTAGTTTGCCTCGAACTAGTACATTATTAGAGACATTATATATTGTCGAATGTATTTGATTTTTCTTCATTGGCACTTAGCCTAATAGTGGCTCTAATATTATATCACTTGAAGGTTCTAATATTCATGAAATTGAGCACTTGATGATGACATAAAGAGGACCACTAGAAAGCAAGGAAGAAATAAAAACACTATTTGGTTGGAGGTAGTTTAGGTGTAGTTGAATTGCAATTCTGTGGAGACCACAATTACACCGTTTGGTTGGAGGAAATTGCAATTCCCTCCAAATGCTGAATTCTAATTCAGACCGTCCCTCCATGAATTACAATTCAATGTTTTGATAAGAGAAAAAAAGATAGTATGAAAATCATTTTACACTCTAATATTATTTTGTCTTATTAGCTTTCCTTCTTCGTTCCTTATCTTCCCCATTCATCCTTCTTTCCTTTCATTTTCTTTTTTCCCTTCCTTATTCTTTCGGCCTGTCCTTGTTTCTTCCTCATTCTTTTTTCTTTTGTTTTTGTTTTCCTTATTCTTTCTTCCTGTTACCTTTCTACACATTTAAGTATTATTATTATTATTATTATTATTATTATTATTATTATTATTATATAAAGGCATTTCAGTCATTGTATCACTTATTCCCTTTCAATTCCATGCCTTATTCCTGCATACCAAATACTGTAATTTGAATTCCTACCTGCATACCAAACACTATAATTTGAATTCCTACTTTATTCCCACCTTATTCTTTTCCCACCAAATTACAATTCATTTCACCCCTAATTCATTCCTTCCAACCAAACGCTCTGTAAAAGTGAAAATTCGAAGTAAATTAATCGTGCGCTCTTAGAAAGGAAAACATGCACTTGAAGAAAAAAAAGGTTCAATGGAATGCTAAGTTTTTTTTTTTTTTTTTTTAACACAATAGTAAGATACAAATGCACATATAGACTTGAAATTGAGCACTTGAAAGCATAAAGAAGATCACTAGAAGGCAAGGGAAAAAAAGACATTAAAAGGGAAAATTAGAAGAAAATTAATTGTGCACTTTTAGAAAGGAAAACATGCACTTTGGCCAAATTTTTACACTTAACACAAAGATGTGCACTCATGAGAAACTAAGTACTGAAACAAAACAAATGCACTCAAAGAAGAGAAATATCCACTTGAAGAATGAAAAATGTGCACTCGGATACAAAAGACAATCTGACTTACTTACTCAAAATTACAATTATGCAACCGCGTATTTTTTAATTAATATTCAATCCGCCCTGTTGATTTGGAATACATCTACGGTTAGCAATTATGCACTTTTTTTTTTTTTTTTTTTTTTTTTTTTTTTTTTTACCTGTAGATGCATTTGTATTTGCTCCAATATATATATATATATATATATATATATATATATATATATAGAGAGAGAGAGAGAGAGAGAGAGAGAGAGAGAGAGAGAGAGAGAGAGAGAGAGAAGGGATTAGGTGCATTTGTTGCTTCCTGTGCGGTGGATTAATGTGCGTGAGGTTTATACTTAATGTGCGTGAGTGTTATGCTCAATATGCTTGAGATTTGTACTTAATGTGCGTCATGTTAATATGCGTGAGTTTTGTACTTAATGTGCCAGAGTATTGTGCTTAATATGCGTGAGATTTGTGCTTAATGTGCGTGAGTAATAAGAGAATTTTCAACAATCTGGAAACATTAATCCGAGGAACCTCTTGCAGACCAATCACCAGTAGATCAAAATTCTCCGTTTCTTTCCACTAGTTTTTCTATGTCCTCCATACTCACCTTCACCATAGCAGAATAAATCAATTAATAAATAAATAAACAAATCTGACATGATGGAATTGAAGCAAACAACAGAAATTTCAGATTCTCGCACCAAGATCGGTCTGCATAGACCATTGATAAGGATAGAATTTGTGTATTCACTTTGGGAAGCTTTTATTTCATTGTAAACATCAGTAAAGCAGAGCAACACACTATTCACTTTGGGAAGTAGTGCTGGGGATGGGGAAGAAGCTGATAACCATATTTTCTGCTGCATTTTACACATTCATGCACATTAAGTACAAATCTCAGGCACATTAGACACAACACTCTCGCACATTGAGTACGAATCTCACGCACATTAATAACCGCACAATCGCACGGGAACCTTTCACTATATATATATATATATATATATATATATATATATATATATATATATATATATGTGTGTGTGTGTGTGTGTGTGTGTGGGGGGGGGGGGGGGGGGGGGGGGGGAGAAGGGATCAGGTGCGGGAGGGGGCTTCCCGTGAGGTTGGACTCACATAAGTCACATGAAGTATTAAACTGACGCACTTTCAGTACACAACACACGCACATTAAGCACGCAAACAAAATACCTTCAGAACATAAACTCACGCACCTTAAGCACAAAACTCACGCTCCTTAAGCACAAAAAGACACGCATCTTAAGTTTCAACAACTACTCACATTCAGCACAAACTCACGCACCTTAACCATAAGACTCACACACCTTAAGTACAAAACTCACGCACCTTAAGTTTCAACAACTACTTACATTAAGTACACACCCACACACCTTAAGTACAAAACTCACGCAGTTTAAGCACAAGCCTCACGCACCTTAAATACAAAATTCACGCACATTACTCACTGTACAATCGCACGGGAAACATGCACCCGCACTGAAATTTATATATATATATATATATATATATATATATATATATATATATATATATATATATATATATATATATATATATATATATATAGTGAAAGGTTCCCGTACGGTTGAATGTTTCTCATGCGGTTGTGCGGATGATTAATATGCGTGAGATTTGTACTCAATGTGTGTGAGTGTTGTGTGCTTAATGTGCCTGAGATTTGTACTTAATGTGCGTGAATGTGTAAAATGCAACAGAAAATATGGATGTCAGCTTATTTCCATCCCTAGTAGCCATTGCCCCCCTCCCTGATGATGATGATGCGGAGGCGGCTAAGGTGGTTAAGAATTATGAGAATAATACAATAGAAATCCACACTTAGTTGGTGTGCAAATTTTGCTGTGCGTGCGTCATCTATATAAACATTCAACTGCACTGAAGGTAGCTGATAATCCAGAATCCATGGCCAAATTGAAGGGAGAAGTAACAAGAAGCTTGGGCGTTAATGTGCGTGAGTTTTCTGTTCTGCTTCCTTATGAGCTCGTAATTCTGAACTACTTACGCACATTAAGCACAAATCTCACGCACATTAAGCACAATACTCAAGCACATTAAGTACAAAACTCACGCATATTAACATTACGCACATTAAGTACAAATCTCACGCACATTAAGTATAAACATCACGCACATTAATATATATATATATATATATATATATATATTGAGTACTACTGGCTCTGTTACAATGCAACATCTATTCATAACTATTTTCTCAATCTACTAAAGCACAAAGAGTTAATACTGTCTTCATTGAGTCTCGAAACCACAACCTCCTTATATATATTTTCTCAACCAAACCCACATTCTTCAACAGCCATATCCCTTTCTAAATGGATGATCGCCGGACCAAACTTCCATGGTGAAGCGTTGATTCTTTAGGTTGAAATTAGAAATTTTCACAAGTATTTGTGAAACAAAAAGAGAAAAATATACCCAAGTTATTGCTGAGGCAAACTTGTACTGAAACGGATTTGTTAATAAAGATGGCAGGCAGAGGCAGCACTATAAAGTATAAAGTATTCGTATCCGCAAGTGCAAGTCCTCTGTCCTCGTGATACAGACGCCGTGTTGACAACAAAGCAGCGCGCCCTCCCAACCACTCTCACCCTCATCACCTTCCTTCCACTGCCCAATGCTCTTTTCATTTCCTTTCCATTCATTCCCCAGGAATCTTTTCTCGCCCGCCGCAACGTTTCTCCCTTGATTCAAACTTTTCCCAATCCCTTTCTTTCTGATTTTGTGCGCGCCAGATGTTGAATGGTGCGGTGCTTATGCTTTCCCAATAATATTCAACCTGCCCGTTTGGGTTTCCAGGTGCGGTTAACAAAACATATGATTCTTGGCATTGTTGATACCCGATCTGGGTTTTCAGAATCTGATTTCTTGGGGATTTTATCACTCGCAAGTTTTCGCCTTTGATTTGGGAGGATTTATAGGTTGGAAGGGGTTTTGGGAATAGTAACTGCACTTGTATTTTCCCTTAAAATTTCCCCTTTGATTACCTATTTTACTTTCTTTGAGTTGGGCTTTCAGTTTTGCATAGTGTGGCCAAGAGACCACTGAGATGAATGTGTTCTATCTTGTAGGATTAGCAAGCTCATTGCATTTTGTTGTATGTTTCCAGGACCTTTGCCTGACAGTAGAGTTGTACTATTAAGGGATATCATCTTTTAGCAGAGAATCAGTTTCATGGTCCCCTGCTATTCATAATGACAGTTGCTAGAAGGACTGCCATGGCTTTCAAGACTTATCAGAACCATGCTGAGACATTGGTTAAGAACTATGTGCTCTCTGATCCTTTTATTCCATACACTTCTGTACTTGGTGGCATGTTTGCTTGCAAAATGGTATGTACAATTGCTGTTCATTGTTTAATCTTAATGTTTTTTGCAAGTTTCTGCATAGTTTGTAAAATAGCTGGCATTTTTAGATGAAATTTTTGGAATGTAACTGGCAAAATGACTCGAGATCTGGTATTTTCCACCTTACACTTGCTGTGGCTTCTCACAGGTCTATGATCTATCTCAATTGATCAGTACATTTTACTTCAGGAGTTACATTACCCTTACGAAAATTCAACGGACCGAATGGAATAACCGGTAAGTTTTGGTTTCAATTCTGTGTTCTGAATGATTTTTTTGTGAGCCAGATTCATAATTATTGTTTTGCAGTGCCATCTCAACCATCCATGCCATCTTCATTTCTATTATGTCTTTGTACTTTGTCTTCTGGTCCGATCTTTTCTCTGAAGATTATCCTGCTGGCCTTCTGACTTTCCGAAATTCATCAATGTCAACCTTTACATTAGGGGTAAGCATTGCTTAACATTATTGAATTCCCTCTGTTTATTCTGGTTTTGAATTTTCATTTGATGGAATGTTGTGATTTTTAGTGAATTTGGTTGCATTAGACACACATACTTGCATTCATAAAAATATAAAAACTTTTTAGGAATAAAGATGGAATGGTGTTTGGGAAATGGCAAAAAAGTTCGAGATTGTTGGAGAATGTGGGGATGCCTTTAAGTTCCATATGTGCAAAAGAAACATATGAAGATTAAACAATAGTCTTAACTTAATTGGGTTGAAGATTAAACATAAAGAACTAGTTTTCACATATTTATTTTGAAATCCAACCGATATAAAGTCATAAAGCCATTGCATATTTCTATTTGTGATTATTTGCTTGCTGATTTTCTGTAAGTTACTCATTTTTTGGCTCGTGTATTTTCATGTACCTTATGAATTTCTATAACTTTTTTGTCAGATCTCTATTGGGTACTTTATTGCAGATCTTGGAATGATTTGCTGGCTTTATCCTGCTCTAGGTGGAATAGAGTATGTAAGTATATATACTTTTGAAGATGGCGACGACATTGATGCTTATCATATTAAGATTTTATGAAATGTTTGTTCGAATTTTATAGATAAATATTGTCGGATATGCTTCTGCATATTGGTTTTCAGGTTCTTCATCACGCCCTTTCAGGAATTGCTGTAGCATATTCCATGTTTACGGGAGAAGGGCAACTTTATACTTTCATGGTGCTCATATCTGAATTAACGACCCCAGAGATCAACATGAGATGGTAGTTCCCCACCGAGAAAATGTTTACCGGTTAACACTCGAAGCATGTTCTTAAATTCTCTGGTTCGTTGCAGGTATCTTGACACGGCTGGATTGAAGAGATCGAGTGCGTATGTGATCAATGGTGTTGTGATTTTTATTGCTTGGTTGGTGAGTCATCAATAGAGGACCTTACGTTATGTAACTATATTGTTTCATTATTCCCGCTAAGATTTTGAACATCGAAATGCAGGTTGCCAGAATTCTGTTGTTTGTTTACATGTTCTATCATGTATATTTCCACTATGATGAGGTAATTTTCTGAAATTCTGAAATTCTGAAATATAGAGTTGATGAAAGAAACATACAAGAAGAAAGTCTAGTTTTTTTTTTTTGTCAGACCACGAGGTGTCCTGAGCAGGCCCTAACTGTAGGAGACACCTTTAAGCCCGTTCCATACTCAGACTAATCCCCGTTCGCACCGGGCCGGCCCAATTAAGGGGCAAAGTGCTGGCCAGATTGGTTTTTTCCATACGAGAGGGGGTTCGAACTCCCGATCTCTCTTAAGGGACGAGAGTGCGCGGCCACTCGCGCCAACCAAGCTGGTTAGAAAAAAGTCTAGTTTACTTTAGAGAACTCCATAGGATACGTGTGAAGTATATTGTAGATTTTGAACATTTTACACTAAGACGGGAATTTAAGATCGATTCACATCTCTCTTTCTCATAACATCATTGGAACATTTATGATAATAGATATCTGTTTTTTTTTTTGCGATAAATCAAGTAATAGTACCGTGCCCTTTACATCAAATGCAGGTGATGCAAATGCACCCCTTTGGATCTCTCTTGGTATTTGTAGTGCCCGCAATTCTTAGTGTAATGAACCTGATGTGGTTTGGGAAGATTGTTAAGGGATTGAAGAAGACGTTGGCAAAGACGCAGTAAATGAACTCCTTAGTATGATTTCTTCTTCACCCACCCCATGTTAATACGATTTCCTAGCAACCTTTCTATTGTACAAAATACGAACTGGCTGGCAGATACCGAGAGAGAAGTAGATGGGACTCGAGAAAATGACTGAAATATGGAGGAGACTAAACAATAGCGTAGCTATTCTACTTAACTGTCGAAAAGGAAAAGATAAAAAGAAAAAAATGCGCTTGTGTTGTTTGTTTAGAAGGTGATGCGTAAAACTGGGTTTCAAGAGAATCTGAGAATGGTTTCTTTCA